ATAATACAAATGCTAGTTACCATTGTCACAAAGATAACATACACACACACCACACAATTTTTTAAACTTTACTGTAGAAATTAACATACAGTAAAATTGGTTTGTGTGTGTGTGTGTGTGTGTGTGTACATTTCTATGACTTGCGATACATTTATAGATTTGTGTAACCATCACCACAGTGAGAATATAGAAGAATATCATTGCCTCATTCATTCACTGAAGGACATTTAGTCGTGCTGTGTTATTATTGTACTACATCGCTGGATTCAAGTTGCTAATATTTTGTTGAGAATTTTACATCTTTGTTCATGAGAGATATGGATCTGAAGTTTTATTTTCTTGTAATGTCTTCATCTGGTTTCGGTATCAGTGTTAATTTTGGCCCCATCAAATAAGCGGGGAAGTGTTTCTTCCTCTTCTCTTTGCCCTTATTTCTTCTTGAAATGTTGGTTATAATTTACCAGTGAGACCATCTGGGCCTGGAGATTTCTGTTTTCTTTTTTCTTTTTGGCCACACTGCGCAGCATGCAGGATCTTGTTCCCCCACCAGGGATCGAACCCGCGCCCCCTGCGGTGGAAACACGGAGTCTTAACCACTGGACTGCCAGGGAAGTCTCAAGATTTCTTCTTCAAACTTTTTTTTAAAATTAATTAATTAATTAATTTATGGCTGCATTGGGTCTTCGTTGCTGCACGTGGGCTTTCTCTAGTTGCGGCGAGCAGGGGCTACTCTTCGTTGTGGTGTGCAGGCTTCTCATTGCGGTGGCTTCTCTTGCTGCGGAGCATGGGCTCTAGGCGCACGGGCTTCAGTAGTTGTGGCACGTGGGCTCAGTAGTTGTGGCTCACGGGCTCTAGAGCGCAGGCTCAGTAGTTGTGGCACAGGGGCTTAGTTGCTCTGAAGCATGTGGGATCTCCCCGGACCAGGGCTCAAACCCACGTCCCCTGCACTGGCAGGCGGATTCTTTACCACTGAGCCACCAGAGAAATCCATGGCAGGTGGATTCTTAACCACTGCGCCCCCCGGGAAGTCCCCTCAAATGGTTTTAAAACTATTAGTTCAATGTCTTTAGTCATTATAGGACTATTCAGATTATCTGTTTCATCATGACTGAACTGATAGTTTGTGGTTTCTGAGAAATTGGTCCAAGTCACCTAAATTGTCAGACTTGTGTGTGTAGAGTTGTTCATAGTACTTCCCTTATTATCTCTTTAATGTCTACAGGGTCTGTAGTGATATCTCTCTTTTATTCCTGATGTTGGTAATTTGTGTCTTCTGTCCTTTTTAAACTAGATGTTTATCAATTTTATTGATCTTTTCCAAGAACCATCTTTTGGTTTCACTGATTTTTCCCTATTGTTTTTCTGTTTTCATCTTTATTGATATCTGCTCTTTTTGTTTGTTTGTTTTTGAAGCATCTCTTTTTTTAAAAAATTTATTTTATTTATTTATTTTTGGCTGTGTTGGGTCTTTGTTGCTGTGCACGGGCTTTCTCTAGTTGCAGCTGGGGGGGCTACTCTTTGTTGCAGTGTGCAGGCTTCTCATTGTGGTGGCTTCTCTTGTTGCGGAGCACAGGCTCTAGGCACACGGGCTTCAGTAGTTGTGGCATGTGGGCTCAGTAGTTGTGGCATGCGGGCTTCAGTAGTTGTAGCTCACGGGCTCTAGAGCACAGGCTCAGTAGTTGTGGCACACGGATTTAGTTGCTCCGCGGCATGTGGGATCTTCCCAGACCAGGGATCGATCCCGTGTCCCCTGCATTGGCAGGCGGATTCTTAACCACTGTGCCACCAGGAAAGCCCTGATATCTGCTCTTATTTTGTTATTTCCTTCTTTCGGCTTGCTTTGGATTGATTTTGCTCTTCTTGGTCTAGTTTCCTAAGGTATAAGCTTGGATGATTGATTTGATATCTTTCTTCTTTTCTACTATAAGCATTTAATCCCATAAGTTTCCCTCTAAGCACTGCTGTAAGTACATCCCATAAATTTTGATATGTTATATTTTCATTTTCATTTGGTTCAAAATATTTTCTAATTTTCCTTGAGACTTCCTCTCTGACTAATGGATTATTTTTAAGTGTTTTATTTAATTTCCAAGAGTGTAGAGATTTTCTCACATATGCTTCTATGACCATTAAACCTAGGAATACTGTAGAAATCTTAAAAAGCCGTTAGTTTTTGTGTGTGTGTGTGTGGTACGCGGGCCTCTCACTGTTGTGGCCCCTCCCGTTGCGGAGCACAGGCTCCGGACGCGCAGGCTCAGCGGCCATGGCTCACGGGCCCAGCCGCTCCGCGGCATGTGGGATCCTCCCGGACCGGGGCACGAACCTGCGTCCCCTGCATCAGCAGGCGGACTCGCAACCACTGCTGCACCAGGGAAGCCCCAAAAGCCGTTAGTTTTAAAACTCAATAACTTATTGAACACCTCCTGTGTGCAAGGCACTAGGCTAGGTACTGTTTTGGGTCCAAGGCTGCATGAGATTTAATTCCAGCCTTCAAGGAATTGACTGTCTAGGAGGGAAGCCAAGACTTTGGCAAATAAGTGGGATGCATGGTGGTCGGTGATACATGCTTCTGCGTGATGCAGAGCAGCACGGCAGTGGGGGTCTCTTCCAGCTGAGGTGGTCAAGGTCAAGAGTGTGAGGTGGACCTTGAAAATGGGTACGATTTCTACAGTGATGGTCTTAGGGAAGGCCATTTCTAGTTAGACAGAACTTTGCTTGGCAGTGGCAGTAGCTCCTGCCCTGTGGGCACCTCTACTCCCGTGCCCAACTGAGCCTGCTGCCACTTGGCACACTTGACCTGCTCAGTCCACACGTGTCTGGGGAATGGACTCGTGAGACTCACTAGACTGAGGGTCTTCTAAAGGTTGGAGGCAGCTCCCAGCGCCTTTAGAGAAAGGGGTATTGTTGTGTGTTTTCTGGGCCAGCAGAGGTAAAGGTGGGGGTGATAAAAATAAAAACGAAGATCAAAAGAGTATTCTACCTCCATCCTGCAAACTCACAGACAGAGCTGGTCCTTCAGCTTTGTCAGAAATTGAGCTAAGAACGTGGAAGTCAGAGACTCGAGACAGTCGAGCGACTCATTGGCAGACCCTGGAACACGCTGCCAGGTTGTGACCGTGAGTCAAATTACCTTTGGGATTCTGGCCTCTCTGGCCCACAGAAGCCAGGAAATGCTGGAGTCGCTGAAGCCAGAGAAGAGTAGAATGACAAGGGGTGGGAAAGAAAACATTTGTTTCAGGCCGGAGGTCTCCAGCTCATTGAAGAAACAGAGGGGAAAATGTGAGGTGAAAATAGCTCCCATCCCTTCCAGACACCTGAGAGGCCAACCAACAAGAAAGACTTCTGGAGAAACTGAGAATTAACAGCCATAAGTCCTCATAACCACGTCTTTTTCATTCTTCCTGAAGTTTCCAGTCATACTTCACTTCCTTTCCCATTTTTCTTTAAAAGATGATTCGCAGGGTCTGCTTTCAGCACATAAAAACAAAACAAAACCAAGGTTTCTGAAAATTTGGAATTTGCATTTTTTCCATCAATTTATTTTGCACTTGCATATTTTGTTTTTACTGAAGAATGATTGTACATGTGTTGGTGATTTAACAAGAAGGAAATACTTGTTTTAAGTCTTCTAGCAAAGACTAAAATAACTAGATTTAATTTTATTAAAAAAATTGTTTTTAAAGAAAATGGTTCATTTCTCATTGAATTTCTGCAGGCAAGTTACTTAAACTCTGTCAGTCTCAGTCTCCTTATCTGTAAAACAGAGATAATAAAACCTACCTCATGGGGTTGCCATGACGTGGGGGAAGATAAGATAGCAATCTTAAGAGCACCTTGCACTGCTGAGCAAGTGCAGAACCAAGGCATGGATATGAACTGCATGAATAAATCAATGACAGAGTAAATCACCCCAACGCCTTATGACGTCCTATCTTGGAACTTCCATATAATGCTATAAAATTGGAACTAATCTTGGTGTCTTAGTATCTGAAAGGTCGACATGACCTGTTTTCTTGTGCAAACTACTTTGTTTTAAAGAGAGGTAATTCTAAAGCAGCAAGAATTTTTATAAAGAACTAGCTTCTGATTTATGCAAAAACAAGATGTCCTGAGGGGTTTTCTATTTTTTATGGTGCTTTATAGTTCATAAATGACCTTAACATGCCTCGTCTCTTTTGCATTACCAAAATCACCCCCAGAGAAAAGGCTGGGAAGGGATCAATCACTTTGGCTTTACAAATGGGGAAGTGAAGACTCCAAGAGAGTAAAGAACTCACCCATGGCTAATAAGGGCTAGAAGTAGTCTCAAACCTAGACTCTTATGCCCAATTCTGTCTCTATGGTCTAGAGGACTATGGTTAAAGCTCTTTAAAAGATGACTGAACCCTTTTGTACTTATTGGTGCATTTTTCTACAGTGCCTACAAGCATCTGAGTCATAGTTTAGACTAATATTTCATTAGTTTTCATGATGACAGTATGTGAGATTTTACCTATATTACTTAGTTTGCAACGTGTGCTTAAACTCCAAGTATATAATGGGATGAAGTGGGGGAGAAAGAGGGAGTCAGGTGGGCTATTCCACAGGCTGCTCTGGGCTTCCTGGATTGACCACTAACCAAGCCTCTGCACTGCATGGTTCCTGCCACTTGGTTGTCCATTTTCGATTCATCTTGCCCACTTGCAGTTTTGTGCCTCCCCAAATTCAACAGGGGACAGGCCTCGCAGATGGATCTGGCCTGCTCAGGACAGATTATGACACAGTTCAAGGAATACCTGCGTCCGTTCAGACTCCCCAGGTGATCTTACTGGGATAACCCTGCTCAGGGCAGTCCTCGGAAGACACAGTAAGCTACAGTGGGTCCTGAGGTTGTGCCTGGGATCCCGTGAAAAACCCAGGAGTGTCCTCGCCTCAAGGCATACAGTCTCATTTCTCCTGTTTGTACTACCTAAACAATTGGATCTGCGAAGGAATTGGTTCTCTAATGCCTTTTCTTTCAGTGAATTCCCAACATTATTTCACGTTACCGGAAGCCGTGAGAAAGAAGCATCAACCGGCCAGCCCGTGTCCCTCGGTGAGTTGCTGTCACATTGCCCAGGACCACCCTGAGCATTGCCAGATGCTTAGCGTCCCGGGTGCCTGGGTACCAAGTGTTGCTAACCCCCTCCCCAGTCACTGTGACAACCAAACACATCCACCCAACCTCCTCCTGCCATTTTGAAATACCCATATGGCCCTCACATGAAAATCACTGAATTAGTTTGACGAGTGATTTTTTTGTTTAGAAATATCTTACCTAATGACAGAGGAGCTGGCAGGCTATGGACCGCAGGCGGAATTTATCCCATGGCCTGCTTTTTTGGGTGACTCTCAAGCTAAGAATGGTTTTCGTATTTTTAAAGAACTGGGAAGAGGAGAGGCAGCAATAGAGACTGCATGCGGTCTGCAAAGTCTATATTTACTCTTTGGCCCTTTATAGGTAATGTTCCCAACTCAACAAGCAATGACCAAGTACCAAGCACGCTGCCAGGCGCTGGTGATCCCATGACGGGTAAGACATCATTTTTGACCCGTGCGGGAGAAAATAAATGAGCCTTCACAGCAAGTGCAGTGGGGTCATACACACGTTGCTAGGGAAGCACCAATGAGGGTCACCCAGCTCAGCCTTGGGACTGAGGGCGTGCAGATGGGGGAGCCTTCCAAGAGGGGGCAGCAGGTAAAATGAGTCTGGAAAGAGAGGAAGCTATTAGCCAGGAGAAAGTGGGGGGAGGGTGATGAGGTAGAAAACAGCCTAGACAGACAGAGAGAGAGAGACAGAGGGTGCAAAAGTTGTGAGCGGGACGTGAGGTAGAGAGTGTCACGGGCTGAAGCTGGAGCGGGGCGCTGAAGTTTGTGCCTCACAGCTAGATGCTGGACTCTACCAGATTCAGATGCTGGCCCCGTCACTTAGGACCTGCGTGGCTTTAAGCAAAGTACTTAACCTTTGGTGCCTCATCTGTCACATGTGGTTGGGAAGAGTACCTGTCCCATGGGGCTGCTGAGAGCATTAGATGAGACAGTACATGCAAGGCATGCAGAACTGTGCCAGCCGATAATGAGCCCTTGGCGAACGGTGGTGATCGTTGTTGTTGCTGAGGTCATTGCTCTTATTATGCTCTCAGTGATGGGAAGGCACTGAAAAACTGTGAGCACCTACTGTGTACCTGCCTTTACGTGAGTCACCAGGAATACAGTGGTCTTACTTGTCTTATGACACCTGTACGAGACGTAGGCCTCACAGAAATCCAGTCAAAAAGGGTTGTGACTATGGGGCTCCCTGGTGCCAATTGCCGGCGTGTTCAGGAAATGGTAATGATCCAGCCATCCTTTGCTGAAGTTGCTTAGGATCAGCTGCAAGCGTAAGAGTGGGTATCTGAGAGCCCAGGGAGGCAGGTTGGCCAAAAGAAGGGCATTAAGAACTCCTCAAGTCGAAAGCCACGTGCTTCCCACTTTCTCCTAAAAGGAAAATACCGAACATGTTTAATAGTGGAGGAAAGTATCAAGCCTTCATGGTACCAGACTCACACTTGGTCCTGGACAGCTTTTCTTTGCCTCAGTGGCCCTACCAACTCAGCAACTCTCCGAAATTGCTTTGGCCTCATGGAATCCTTCCGTGGGTCTCTGCTTCTTCAGACCCTCTCTGCGTGTAGTCCAATCCACAGCTTGGACAGACACGGGAGGCCCTCACCCATGAGTTGGGCCCACCTGGGTTTCTCCGCCCTGGAAGTGGAGTCCACAACTCAGCCAGGGCTTGTGCTGGACAGAAGGGGAGTCACTTCCTGCCCTCCCTTGTAGAGCATCCCTCTAGCTGCTCTGCTCCTGGGACCTTCTCAGACACAAACTTAGCCTGCAGGAGAGGTGGGGAGGAAGTGCCAATTGGCTGCAGGCAGGTCTGCACCCCGTCAGCTCATTCCTCCTGCTGACAGTGCAGTGGGTTGAGAGAGCTCCCCTCCTTCTGTGGAGCCCTTCCAAGGCCTCTAAGCTGCTGGTGACCTGCAAGTTCAGTTGCCTCTCCGTGTGGGTTGGCCATGTGGCAGCGAACCCGCTGTGGGAGTTCTGAGGATGCAGCCCTCAGGTTGAGTATGGTGGTGGTGGGGTCCCCGGGATGCCCTTAGCCCACGTGCTGCTGTCCCCACTGCAGGAGCAGCCCGAGCTGGTAAGCCGGCAGCCTCCGCCCGGCAGCGCAGGGCCCGCGCTGGTCGGTCTCTGACTATGCAATCTCTAATGGCTCTGGGTCCCTTTGAGGAGGAGGCATTCCCTTTGCTATTATTATCTAATAATGAGGCAGTGTTCCTGTTTTCTGAGGCTTTCTGGTTGAGCACACCGTACTCTGTGAGGAAATACGCTCTTATTTATTTTCTCTCCAGAATATCAAAGTTGACAGCACAGAGACATAGGTCTGTGGTCAGTTTCAGACCATTTACCTCTCCCGGTCCCACACTCCTCTCCTTATCAGCCACCCTGTCGCCTGCCCCTGGGCCTCCAGCCCTCTCACCCATGTACCACCTCTTTAGAGCACTCACAGTGTACAGCACTCAGCACTTTGCTCCAATGTACCCATTTCATTCTTACAATAGCCCTAGGAGGTAAGTATTATTATTGTTCTCATTTCACAGCTGAGAAAACCTGAGGCCTGGAGAGGATCAGGCGGTTCAGTAACTTGCGCAGGGTCACACAGCTTGTCAGCAGCAGAGCACAGATTCAAACCCGGGCCATCTGACTCCATCATTTGTGCTTTTAACTCGTGCTATTCAGCCCCCAGGTCTGGTGCTTTTCCTGTGTGGCTCTACATACAGAACAAACTGGAGGTACGTGACAGGTGGCATCCGGGCCAGCGGACACCGTGGAGCCGAGGACACAGTCGATCAGCGCAGACGACCTCCCACGTGAGAAGCGGAGCCCTGTGGAAGCCTTAGGCCATTCAAAGTGGATGCAGCTCTCCTTTCTCCCTGAGATGTTCCCAGAGCTTCTCAGGTAACCCCAGCTGCTGTGCCTGACATCCCTGTGGGAAGCCCAGCACCTCCAGAGCAATTCCTGGAATTCTCAAAGCTTCCTAGAACCAGACTTGGTTTGAGTAAATGAGCTACGGACAACTGGGTACTGGACGCCCGGGCTCTGGGACCAGCTGTCCGGGCACGGCCAGCAGTAGGCCACGGGGACCCTGCCCAGGAACACCCAGTGGACACATCTTGGGGTCTGTCATGGTGTCCCTCTGGGGCTGGGCCTGTCTGTGTAAACAGACACAGGTGTAATTCACAAGGGTGTGCTTCACAGGTTGTCCCTTTGTGTCTTTATCTTCCCCCACGTGTGTGTGTGTGTGTGTGTGTGTGTGTGTGTGTGGCTTATGTCAAATGTGGGTATGTACCAACATGAGCATAAAATGTGTCAAAGTCTGTGTGTGTGGAACAGAGAGGCTGGAGGTATGTAGCTGTGCGTCCACGTGTGTGCGAGTGGGCTGACTCTGCTAGCGGCTCTCAGCACACTCCTAGTGGCTTATAGCCACCTTGGCATTCCTCCTGTGCCACTCCAAGGCCCTCAGCAATGTTCCAAGACCATCTGGGCCCTGTTTCGCAGAGCAGGCAAGCACTGAGGTGGCTTAGTTCTTTGTTGGCTTCCGTTCCTGTAGGAACAGCCCCTCCAGCTTTCCTCTACTCCCACTGGTTTCTGCTCTCCTCTGCTGCTCTGGCCCCCCCATGTGGACTGCCCCCTGGGCCCCATCAGAGGGAGCTGGCAAACGTTTGGTTTGGAGGCAGCTTTTGAGCTAAAGAAAAGACAGCACCCAAGAGTCCCCGGCGCCATGGCAGGACCATGTCCGTGAACCTCAGCATTCCACGCTCCATCCCCTTCTGATCTGAGCCTGTCCCCCCAACCCAGGTGGGCACAACTCATGGGGGAGGGCCCTCCCCTCTCCAGTCATTCTGCCTCTGATTGGTTCCAGTGGGGAGTAGCAGGACCCTCCGAGATGCCTCGGGGCTCCTCTCTAGATCTCTGAGGATTGTACTCACAGCCTCCATGGCGCCCTCAATGCTGGGAGAACTGGGGACTGTCAGGGCTGTGACAACCTGTGACTATTTGGACTTTGATGGAGAGGGAAAGGCGAAGCTGCTGATGGGATGTCAGGAGAGAAGTACCAGTTCAAGAAGCAGATGTGGGAATTGGGTTCTGCAGCCTGGCAGGGAGAGGCAGCTCTTGGCACCGGCTGCCAGAGGGCGGATGCTAAGTCACTCCCTCTGCAGCAGTTCTCCTGCGCGATTTCCTGCACTCCCTCCTCCTCAGCACCTGTGCCCGGGGCTTCGGGATGTGACTGACCACCCACCCCCCATGCTCTTTGGCAGTGGGGCTTAGGCAGGGTGCCCGCAGCTGGGGACTCTCTTAGGATGAGGGAAAACAATCAGAAAGCTCTGTGACATCAGACAAAGTGCTTAAGCCCTCTGTGGCTGTTTTCTAATCTGTAAAGTGGGGATGGTAACAGGGTGATGGTGAGAGTTGAGTTACTGTATGGACAGCACTTAGGACAGTATCTGGCACGTAGAAAGCACTCAACAATTGTTTGCTGCTATTAAGACAATCCCAGAGGTCAATCTGGCCTTTTCCCAGGGTTCGCAGGGCATGGGGGGTAAGGGAGGGTAGGGAGACCTGTCTTTCGTGGTGTCAGGCCTTGGAGGAAGGGAGCATCAATGCCCTTCACCCCTGGAAAGGATTCACACTGTCCTGGAATTATTGGGTGCATCTGGGATGCCTGGTGGACCCAGCCCAGGGCCGCCTCCCTGTCAAGGCAGGTGAGGGCTGCAAGCATCGCAAAAACCTACCCTCCCAGGACAGGACCTGTCTTTCCGGGCTCTTCTCTCATCTTTGAAGTCTTTTCTTAAAGGTCAGTAAAGCAGAGAGACCCCTCTAGAATTCATCTCTGGTGATAAGGGCAGCAGACACGGGCTCTAAAAATAAACCTTAATAAGATTTTAAATACACACTTTCCACAACAATTCCGATCACGATTCTTGTTTCTTTCCCGGAGCAATGTGACCTATAGAGAAACCCATCCCCACAGAGGAGGAAATGTCAAAGGCTTCCAGAGTGTGGCACTGAATCTGGATAAGGCTTTGCTCTGGGGTCCAGCCTCGCCAGAAGGCCCTCCAGTTTTTGCACTGGGAGGCCCCTTTCCAGTCCCACCCCAGGGGTGCACCTGGTTCTCCCACCTTCACCCCCACCCCAACTGGGGTGAACCTGAGCCCCGTGGCAGCATTTCTGTCCCCAGAAGCCAGGAGGGACAGGAGAAGCTGTCTCTGCTTTGTTACACGTCGCCCCCCCCCACACCCCGTCCCCCCGCATGCAGCTCTCAGAGGTGGTGGATGGGGACCATCGAGGCTGACTAGTTTACTGGGTCTGGGGCCAGCCTAGTGGGCACACAGGACAGTGAGGGTGCTGTGCAATGCCCAGGAGGAGGCTCGGGCTCCGGGTCTCCAACAGCTCAGCGGGCCGACTGGGACAAGCCAGCCAAAGCATGCTGCAGAGAAGTCTCTCCAACTCCTTCTCAGAGCAAAGCGAGAAAAGGTCAGCGGGGTGCTGGGATCGCTGTCAGGACACCGGCTTTCTCCTGGGGCGTTCTAAACTGGGGGTGGAGGTGGGAAGGGAGGCTGCACCGGGGGGTAAGGGAAGAAAGAAAAAGGCGGGGAGAAAAGGGGGGAATGGTACGGGGGAGGAGAGTAAGGGGAAGGAGAAAGTTGGGAAAGAGAAAGGAAGAGAGGGTGGAGCCAGGAGAAGGGCGGGGAGAGGGCGACAAAGGCCGCAATGCGGCCGGCGCTCCCCGCGCTCCGATGCGCCCGCGCTGCAGCCGGTGGGACCCGCCATCCCCGCAGGGGCGTCTGGAGAGGGGGCGCGGGAGCCGCGGGCAGGGTTGGGGTGGGAGGAGAAGGAAGGAGCTGGGGAGGAAAAGGGGCGGAAGCACAGGGCCCGGGAGGTTTTACTGACGCCGCCCTGGGAGGTGGGGTGGGGAGGGGTGGCGTGGGGCGCGGGCCGGCTCCCACCTGCGCCCCCAGCGCCGGGCGGCCCTGCGCCGCATCCCGCCGCCGCCCGCTGAATCGCCTCCCACGTACTGGTATTTTCTCCTAGCTTTCAGTTGAATGGTGGAATGTTTTCACCATTTCCTTCCTGGAGCTGAGGTTGAGGCCCACTCTCTCCGCTGGTATGAAATATTATTCTTGTACTCTCGCTTTTGACTCTGGTTTGGGATTTGAGAATGGAGAAGGTACATTCTCTCATAATTAATTTAGGTGGCTGTCACTGTGGTCACAGCTGGCCCCAGGCAAAGAGCAGAGCCTGAGAAATTGAGGCCATGCAAAGGAAATAATAACATGGCCTGCATGGGCCACAAAGAGAGCCTTACTTAACCTACTGCTAAGTGGCGGAGCTCGCCCGCGCTTCGCGCTCTTCTCTCCAGCACCCGCTGTGCGTGAGCACTAACCATCTACCAAGCATTTGTTATACTGCCTCATTTAACCCCCAGAGTCACCCCGTATATTAGCTTTCACAGCCCCCTGTTACAGATCAGAAAACTACAATTCAAAGAGGTTAAGAAATTTGCACTCTTCCAGCAGCAGGAAAAGCTCGGAATGGAACCATGATCTCTCCTGTATACCAGGCAGCCCCTCCTGATTCTTGTCTTTGCAATCCCAACATTCCCAGTTTCCTCCATCCCCCTCTCTCTCCTTATCCCACCCACAGTGAGGTTTCAGGCCTGAAGTGTCCCCTTCTCGTCCCTCCCCAGGATTTGCCTTTTAAATAGAATCTAAGCTTCAGGTGAAAGAGCCATGTCTTAAGGGAACTGATTTAAGTGACAGCCAAGAAGGCAGAGCGGTACTGTGGGCGCAGCAAGCCCTGCAGTCCCGCCCCCCGGCCCCCCGCAGCCGCTAGAGAAGCCGGGCCCTTTCTATCCGTGGGCTGGCCTTTACGGGGGAAAAGAGGAGTGCCTGGACCTTAGCTGAGAAGCTACTGCGTGCCTGGCACATTCTGCCGCACGCTTCGTAAATGTTACCCCTTGATCCCTCACAGCTACCCACGAGGTGGTCGCTACTCTCCGCATCTCACAGAAAGAGGAAACCGGGGTCTTCTCAGAGGTGAAAGAACTTGCCCAAGGACATGGTGCTAGGAAGTGCCTGAGTTGGAATCGAAACCCATTCATTCATTCCTTAAGCGTATTTTTATTCTTTATGATTTTTGCTGTGTGCAGGGATATGGAGATGAGATATGATCCTCCCCTCACTGTTTATGCTCCCAAGAAGGCGAATAGACATGAGCAAATCACTACAGTTAGGTGTTGTATGATAGTTGCCGTATGGGGTGCTGTGAGCCGACCACAAACGCTAAATCGTGGCCAATTCCACGTAGGCAGGCGGTGGGGAAGTGGAAGGGAGCCAGGAAGAAAAGAAAACCTTTTTGAAAGAGACCTGTTCAGCCGGGCGTTTTTCTTCCCCCTCCCCCGCGTTGCCTCCAGAAATCACTGTGATATGGGGGAGGGGAGCACCGGGGGCTCGGACGGGGCCTCTTTGAATGTCCCTTGATGCCCATGCTCAGGGCCACCCGACTTCACTGCAGCATTCTGAGGATTATTAGATCATTATGGAGTGCCCTGCATTTCATGGTATATTTGGGCATCCTAAATGGGCAGGAATCATCTTTTTATTTTTTTCCCCTGCTTTCCCAGTTCAACAGGAGATGATTTTAAAATATGCTTGACTTGAAGAACAGGATTAAAAAAAAATGTGGGGAGCCTGAGGTAAAAATGGAAACGAGATGAAACCCAAAGTATTTTCAAGGTGTCTTTCTCTGTGTTTCTATTTTGCAGGTTTTAAAAGCAGAATTAAAGTGTAAAGAAGAG